GGAGCCGCACGCCCCCCGGTGCCGCTCTTATAGCCGCCGCCGCCCCGCCCCCGCCGCCCCCGGTAAACACCGGCGCGCCGGGGCTGTCAATGGGGGGCCCCGCCCCCCGCCGCCCATTGGCCGCCGGGCCGGGGGGGCACATCCCGCTCAGCCAATGGGCGCCCGCCGAGAGGGGTTGCTGGAGAGAATGGCAGGGCGGCACCGCCGGTACCCCCCGGAACCCACCGGTACCCCCCGCAGCCCCCCTGGTTCCACCCGGTACACCAGGCACGCCCCGGTACCTCTCGGTACCCCCGGCAACCCGATCCCTCCGATACCGCCCCCACGGCAACCGTGCAGCTCCCCGTTGCCTCCACCGTGAGCAGCACAGCACCCCCCGTGAAATCCGGTACCTTCAGCGCACCGGTTACCCGTGCCCTCTGGTACCCACTCGGAGATGCTTCAGCTCCTGCCAGAACCCGCTGCTCCCCCCGGTCTGGGCGCCCCGGTGTCCCCAGTGATCCCAACGCCCGCACCCCCGGGAGCCCGCCCCCACCCTCCTCGCGGCCCGCCGGGAGCCTGGGCACGGCTCTGACCGCCCGCGACACCGAGTATCCCCCCGGGATGCTGCTCTTGGACCCCGCCCTGCCGGGCTCCCGGGGCACGCACTGTCCCCACTCCTCCCGGCAGAGCCTGGTCTGGGACGTCCCCGGGCCGCCCACTGGGGCTCGGCCCCACGCGGTGTGGAAACACCGGCGCCTTCGTGGATGTGTGTCCCCCACCCGCCTCAGCGGCGTCTCCCCGGGGCTCGACTCCCGGCGGGGCGGAGGGAGCCGGGCCGGGAGCGCCGTGCGAGGAACGCGCTGCCCACGGGGCGGCCACGCGGTCCCGGTGCCGCGAGTGGGACTCGCCCCGCCCGGCCACGCCCCCCCGGTCAGGCCACGCCCCCTCCGCTGGGCGGCACCAATGGGGCGGCGGCGGCGGCGCTGTTGCCCCGGAGACCGCGGGCTGCCCGCAGGGGGCCGCGCCCATTGGCTGCCGTCGCCGCGCGCGGGCCCACCGGGGGCCGCGCCCATTGGCTGCGCTGCCGCCGCCAGTTGCTGTGGTGACAGGGGAGCGCGCGGGGCCGCGCCCGGCCGGGAACCGGGATCGACCGGGACCGACCTGGAACCGGCACCTTACCGGGCCCTGATACCTAACCGGGCACTGTGACCCGACCAGACACTGCAACCTGCCCGGGCATCGCAGCTGACCGGGCACCGAGGCACGACTGTATATCACGACCTGCCCGGGCACCGCGGGCTGACCGGCACTTCGGGCTTTCCCAGTCCTGTGGCCTGACCGGGCACCATGGGCTGTCCAGATCCTGCGGTCTGACCGGGAATTGTGTCCTCTCCCCACCCTGCGGGCTGCCCCGGCATTGCGGCCAGACTGGACACCAGGGGCTGCCCCGGGGCCTGTCCTCCCGCTGGCCTGTCCCGCACCCCCGGGCCCTGCCTGCGCCGTCCCGGAGCCCCGCCGCCCGGGGAACACCACAGGACCCTCCACCGCGGCTTTCCACGGGGAGCCGCTCCCGGCCGGTATAGCCGGAGGTCACGCCCGGCACCGGGCACATGGTCCCGCACGGCCCTGGCACCGGGCTCCCACACACCCTCCGGTCTTCGCTCCCGCCCCGCGGGCACGGTCCGCGTTAGCACGGAGAGCCTGTGGTGCCGAGCAGCTCTACGGGGCTGTCCATCCCCGCTGGCGCCGTGCACCGGGGCCGCCTCGCCCCGGGCTCCCCGGGATGGCCGGTCCTCTGCTCCCTCCCGTCCCCGGCAGCCCCGCAAGCAGCCGAGTCCCCGCCCGCCCCGCCGGGCTGCTCGGTCTGCCACAGCTCCGTCCCAGCCCGGGCATCCCGACCCCGTCCCGGTGATCCCGTCCCGGTGATCCCGTCCCGGTGATCCCGT